ATGATGCTCTCACAGAAAAAACATTTTGCAAATCAACACAATCAAGTTCAACGGCGTTCTGACACCATCTCAACCGGAAAGTTGAAACTGGGATGTACTCACTACATTATCATCAAACAACATTACTTTGAGGGGATGAAAATACTGTTGGAGGATAAAAAATTAGGCGAACGAAACAAGCTGAAAGCTGAGATCAAGTCAGCCTTGAGTTGGCGAAAGAGATTTTTTTTTGAAGCGTTGGTTGAGATTAGAAATATTGACAAGCTACAGTTGACCCGTTATATTAGTCTCAGAGGAAACGGGTACCTGATTTCCTTCGAAGGTATATCTACTGTTTTCCTGAAACCATCATTTGTCTGGCTAGTTTCAATATACATTTAGTTGTATCCCCTGAGATTATGGATTTCAATTGGAAACCTTTGGACCAAAGTTGTTTCCATATTCATCTTTGGTTAGTTTGTTTATGGTTTTCTCACATCCTTCAGATATTCCTCGTTCGTTATCTTGTTCAAGTCATATTTATGGGCCTAGGGCCCCTTGCCCTGGAGTTCGGTATTGATGTCGTCACACTCTATGGACTCCGGGACCTACTCTAAGTGGTATAGCTTTTCATTGTATAGGTGTGGTAGGGTATCTTCTCTTGATCGAGGATCCGAGTGATTCTCCTATAATCATCTATATTTTTAGGGTGGACTTTAATTCCATCTGTTGTGTTCACCGCCCGCAATATGGAGATGTTTTGCGCAGTAGCAATCGTGTTGAAAGCTTTCCACTTTTTTTTTGCGCGAATGGTTATAGGTGGAGGCTTATCCGCTTTTTTGTGTGTTTCTGTCCGGTCATTTTTCGGGGCGTCTGTCACTAGTTCATCGTCGCCTACTTCCATTGAGTCAGGTGGCGGGACTTTTGTTTCCTCTGTATTTGCCAACTCAGTTTCCTGAGTGGGCTTTTGCATTCGATCTTCCAGTGCCACGCCCGGCTTTTGTGATAAGGCGGGTGTGGTTTTATTTGATTTTGGCTTATTGGTCCATTTAGTCTGGGAAAAACCGGGTTTTAATTGTTTGATTTGTTGAGCCATTTCTGCCTATTTTTTGGGGACATTGCCGCTTGGCTTTTTTCGCCCGACATAATATCGTCGCTGTCCAGATCGCTGATGTCAGAGTCGGAGTCGATAAGACGATGAATAAGAGATTTTTTGTTTCTCAAATTCAAGTCCATTCTCTTTGCAAATAATTTATATGCCTCCACTAGTTCGGTACTACTTATATCATAGTATTCTATATTAGTTGATATTATAGCCAGACCTGCTTCTTTTGGCTTTTTACGAACTTTCGTAAAATTGAAAATCGTTTCTTTAACTTGTTTCATTTCGAAAGATAGATATTACACTTCGAAATTAACACAACGAAAATCAGTCCATAATGTAGATATTCCTTGGTGAATGTTGTTCTTGAATATTCTAGAACAGAGAAGAATAATGGAGAATGTGTGGAAGTACATTCCAGAATATCCCAGAACATTTCTGAATGTTTGAAAATTGTCTGAGAAATTGAAGATTATCCCTGATTATTGTGGAACAATTGAGAAATTTATATGGTATGGTATGGTAGCCCTCTATCTTCCCCCCAAAAAAACTGTCAATTTCTACATGTGGAGCGTGTTTTTGAAGATATAAAGGCTGAAAGCTTCGACCTTTTGAATCATTTAAAACACTTCAAAACATTTGAAAATATTCGAGAGTGTTCCACAACAATTCATAAGTCACCAAAACAAGCTGGGATATTTTGAAATGTTCGAAAATGATCTGGAGGGTAATTGAAATGTTTTCTGAATGCCTGAAAAAACTGTTTATTTGAAAAAAAGTGGTATCGTATCAGTTTTATGTGACTAATATTTTACACATTGAAATGGGTGAAGTGTTGTGTCACAGGATAGCTCCTGTGACAACACCAACTTTTTTGAAGACCTATGAACGAAATGTAGTGAATTGCTTTATTAAATCTTGAAAGGATTATGTAGCATTTTTTATGAAAGCCTCCAAAGTTCCACCACCGCCCTGACTTCCAACGAATGATAATTCCATGTTTCAAGCAATCCACATGAAATATTAATAATTCATTTAATTATACATTCACTTTCTCATGAATCGCTGCGTTCATTGCGTTCAAAAGACGAAGACGGGGCGGCTGCCTTCAATTTGTGAGATATGTATATTAGAATTACAGTAACCTGTATGCAGAAACGAGTTGGATGTATAATTAGAGTGCTACTAGCTTTCGCGTAGGTTGTCATATTATTCACAAATTAGAGTTACATTCTGGAATAGGAAATTTCAAAAATATCGAATGGAAAATTACATAAAATTATTATGTTTTGAGCTGATTACTGTAAAACCATATAATCAGAATTAACGCTATTGGAACATCTTCCGAATAGTTCATAGAAGTAGAGGTCAAAATAATCGAGCACACATCAAACATGAATCAGATCTCTGGCCGAATATCCTCCAAGCTTTGTGATACATGTTCCATCATTTGTAGATGTGGTTTCATTGGAATCTCCCATGAATAGATTCGAATGACTGACATCAATCTATTCATCGACGTGTATTATCAGGACGAAGTTTGGGCATAGTTTATTCGAGAGGACTTCAACTCATAACACTTGAATAATCTCTTCATTTTAGATTGGGATATTTCTACCTTTGGATGATTTGCCTTGATGATTCCGAATATGAAAACAAATTTAATAGATTTTTGGAGAACAATAAAAAATAGACTTTCACCTACTCTAGAATACTCAGTTGATTGGATACGTTTATATCCATCTTGCTTCATCAGAACTCTAATATTCATGTGAATTTATATCCCAGTAGGCTTCTGCAAATGTATTTGAGAATATAATCCGGAGATTTTATATTTTGATGGATCATGATTGTTACCATTTGATCCTATTACGTTCTAAAACCTTGTGAATATCATTATCGGTCATTATGACATCATATAAAAAAGTCGCATTGGATAATCACTACTGATTTTCAGGAAAAGCAAAAAACCACTTTTTAATTCTGCCCATTCTATTTAGAACTCGATTAACAGCGATTAACTCGACTCGATTAACAGCGAATATATTAGAGGAAGGAGAGGAAGGAACATACGTTAAATATGAAATGACCCGCATATTAGGAAATCTGTTCAAACTCTATCATACAGCCTTCTTCTATACCCTTCTCAACACCGGCGTGGTGTTTGAAGTGTGGATATCTTTCGATGAAAACCTGTCACAAAAGTATTTCTATTTTTTTAACGTCACATGAAAAATGGAGATGAGTATGATTTTTATCTTAACGTCGATTCATTTGTGAATTAGCTTCGACGGTAGCTGGTCGGGTTGACGTGGTTGGATTTTCTCCACTCACTCAATTGACTGCTGTGTGAACAGTAGTCCAGTCATTTAAGGGTTTATCTGCGGAAAAAATCCTACTGAGCTGGATTTTGATATACACCTTTATTATTTCATTTATTTTAATGAAGATGTGGAAAATTGACATTGATATCGTGCTAAACAAGTCATAAGGGTCAGTAGGTCACAAAAATCAGTTTTTCGGGAATATCTCGCGATCTATGACTCAAAGGTCATGTAATGAAATGTTTTTCATTTTATGCTCAATAATTTTTTATTTGTACATTGAAAAATAGTGAAAAAAATTTTTGTATATAATCTTCTTCATCGTCGACATCCTCAATTTCATCTTCATCAAAAGTTGCTGACAATGTCCAGAAGCTTTCGAACATCTCAATTTCTACATCCACATTTGCCGCCACAACCTTTTGTACAATTACAAAAGATTGTGTTTAGTATATCATCCAGTGCTGGTGGCAATAAAGTTGTTATTGGTTGTAATATATCATTTTTCAACTCCCAATCCCACTGTTCTGAATCAATTTCTTCTCCCAGCCAGGTTTGTATGTGATAATAGACTCGATAAATATGCTGTTGAGCTGCTGAAGAAGTGGGTGATTATAATTGAAATTTCACAGCTGTGCTTTGTCTTGATAGTTTAGCAAAGCTGCAATAGAAGTTAGAAGTTTTGAGGAAACTTAAATACATTGATAAAAAGCAATAGAGTTGACGCCTTATATGTATACTGTATACAAAACCCTATGTGAGTGCATTCTACTCGCATTCTCAGCGCTCTAGTCCGAAAAGAATTGACTTTACAGAAAAATGCAAGAGTCTTTTTCTGTAGATAATCGTATGTGGAATAATTTTTATAATGACCTTCATTGACCTCCGAGCCATAGGTCGCGATATATTCGCGTAAAACTGATTTTCGTGAATTGTTGACCCTCATAACTTTTTTAGCCGGTACGATATCAATGTCAATTTCTCATATTTCCATTAAAACGCTATAATGAAGGTGTATACCAAAATTTAGCTCAGTAGGAATTTTTCCGCAGATTGAGGTTTAAGAAACCTAAAATGACTGGAAAACAGGTGGTTCGAGCCATAAGACCCAGTCGATCGATTTTCACGTTCTATCGTTCAACCCGTGTTAGGAATCACACGTTAAAAGGTAAGACTTCGTTATTCTTTAGCTCGCACAAGCTTCGAATTTTGAGAGTTGTCGTTCGTAGAGGGGCATCAGCTGATTAACAGGAAAACAGATTTCATCATTAACATATCCCTATTATATTCTTGTGCTTTTCTGGTTTCGATTTTTATTTTCTCTGAATGTTCCATAAAGATATTATTTAGGATCGGTGCTGAAGATGAGCCTCGAAATTTCGTAGATTCCACAATATCGAAACTCACCAGGATATCGGTAGATTCTCTAAATTCACTAAAAGGTTACAAAGCAAAAAACAATAAGAAACATTCATTCCTCTACAATAAATGTCTTTCAAATAAAAAATATCATGCGGTTGTTGCATGTTACACAAACAAAATTCATTACTTCCCCGTTATCTCCATCATTAAGAATCCCCGAGAAAAATACTAACTTGTTTGTCTTTCCACATGAGCACGATCACGCACAGATTGAGGAAAAATCCAAAAAATCCGATGAAAAACAACATGATGGCAGCTGCTATGTATCCGCCAGCTGACATTAACATATGCTCGCCGTTTCCATCATTGGCGAAGGCCCTTCTCGTCGTATTCGAAACGCTTATGATTATTTCTGTCATCCGATCAACGTTGGCTGTGACACGTGCGAGGCTTCACGGGCTTGACATTATGAACTCACATTATGGATCTGAAAAAAAGGTGTATCTTAAGTTCAATTCGAAAGAAATGTTTTTCGAGTAGAAATTTCTGCCTGAAATAAATGTTATATTGAAAGAGGGGATATTTTAAGATAAGATCAGTTTTTATTAAGGAAGTTTTGTCTTTCTCTTATCCATCTTCTTACAAAAAATGAAAGCAATGAATTCTAAAATAAACTCTTTCCAAAGATATGTAGATCATTTATATAGTTTACTTTCAGATACAAACTGGAAGAGAAAACCCTCGCGTAGCAACTACTTTCTAATGAACATTGAATTATACGAAAAGAAAATCACTTTTGAAATAGCTATTCCTATATGAATATCGATGCAGTATTGTACTAGCAACGTGGAAGGTAATATATATAATACGACCGAATTCGTCTTCATCGGAGGGTTATTTCATTCATATCGGTTGTAAATATCATTAACAACCATATATCATCTTTTGAAACATTTCATTAGATTCTGATTTATTTACATTTCAAATTTCCTTTTCTGACCTTTTTTCATCAAAGTTACCAAATTCAGTTTGAAGTCACTACTTTTAAATACAAATCATGAAATTATAAAACAACAACCAACATTAATTGGCGCTCCGGGGCGACTTCATTGATTCCAGTGGCACATTTGTTTTTTCAGATGCAGGAAAACCCGGAAAAACCTGCAGCACTACATCATCTGAAGATCTTGATCTGCCAATGTCATCTCTTTCATAAAACAAAATTTAGGGTGTCTACAGAGGTTCCAATAAATTCAATACATCGCCAGAACACTTCGTGACACGACTATCGTCAAACAAGAAGATTATAATAGTGGTCTGCTAGATTGAAGTGTTCAACTATTTTGAAACTTCATGAGAGTTCGGTGCTTCCGACAGAGGTTGAGTAATGTTTGAAAATCATCAGTATTATTATTAGATTGACTCAGCTATACCTGTTCTCTAATAACAGTCAGTTAGTTTGGCGAATGTTGGGCAATACAGTCGATCATCACCTGTTAAAATTTCCATCTTTCAAATGATTTAACATTAAGTTTTACACGGACTGAGTCTTAGTCATATTAGGAAACGCTAGTTGAAGTTCCAGAAATTCACATACGTTTTTGATACCTCTTGAACATTTACTACAAAGTAAACACATGAGAATTTTGCCAGCAGAATATTTAAAAACACAAGACGAGATAGACTGTACGGAATCATTCAATCCAGAGCGGTCAAGGAGTATTGATTCTGCTATTTTTTTGCTCACAAAGAGTATTCAACAAAAACCTCAAGAATTCGAAAAAACCCTCTTGTTTTTCTAATGAGTATCTTGTTGACTACAAAGACTTCAGGAAATAGGTTGCTAGGAAAGATGATACATTCTTACATTCAGCTCTATGAGCAGGTGTTTGAGTTTGGGTAATAAGTAGGAAACATTCTTGTTCTCGTTCGTCGTTAAAAGCTCGTTCTTGAAACAACACTTGTAAAATGCTATTCATGTAACAAGTGTTTTCTAAATTATCTAATACAATTTTCTTCTCTCAAGATTTTCAGGACAACTCTCTACTGAAGTTATTTCAATGACCTACTTTCCTCCATGGTATGAATTCTATACAGTGTTCCAATATTTTATAAAAATTTGCCACAGATCTGAGATATGTTATTTTGTTTATATCCAGTGTGAAATGATTTCTGAGTAAACATTATTTTTTGTTCCTATCAGAGCTTCCATCATTATGACATAGATTTCCAAAGTGTAACGAAATGCAATCATCTGCATAGTTCACAAAGTTTATATTAAAATTCTATAATAAATAAATCTATCAAATATGGCATGAATGAATGAAATTCGACACAAAGCCTTTTGAAAGCTAATTCAATAGTTTTTTTTCTGCTACTATTTCCTATAACACATTGCCGACAGGAACTACATAGAAAATGAATTATTTTCATTGTATTCCACGGTACCCTGCTTGTCATTTCCATGGCACAGATTGTCGAATGCTTTCAATCTATTATAAAACAAACAATGGATTTAGAATTTGGATGAACTTATTCATGCTTTAGAGAATACAACTATTCCGGTAGACAAAGAAATCTCAGAATATATCTGGAATATTCTCAGGTTACGTTCATTTATATTGAGTGAATGATGGGCAGCTATAGCTACCTGCGTGACATCCGGGTCATAGCTGCCTCCGTGGTGATTTCGATAGTTTTCTTGTAAACACAAGATCTATCAACTGAAACCACGAATGTGCGGTTGGCTCCTGCTGGTGGCTCCGTGCATTTGTATTTCCATCTTTCGGTACCCAAGTGTTGCCCATCCTTACACTTGGCTACACCATACTGATGATGCGCCAAAAGCCCGAAACACGTTTCTATGGTTTGCCACTTTCTAAATTTGACTATTCAAAGGTCATTCTAGTGCTTTCACCTATCCCCTCTTATCCCTCTCCGCTTCATCGGTTTTAGTGGAAACTGACCGTTTGGCGGGAGTTGGTCGTATTTCGCTTGATTCGAGGTTTCCATATGTTGCGTATCTCTACGCTAGCTTGGTTGAATGCGTTGTTGGACAACAAATATGCGACTTTTTTCAATTTTCTCCTGAACCAGTGATCCTCCTTGTGGATGATTTCAGCTTGAGCCCACTTGATGTTATGTTGATGACTCCAAACATGCTCTGAAATTCCGGATTTGCTGGTTTCTCCTCGCTATATGTGTTTCGTGTGCTCGGCAATGCGAACTTCCAATGGCCTCCTAGTTTCACCGATGTATGATTCTCCGCACTCGTAGGATATCCAGCAATTCTTGGAATCGCAGTCCGCGTTTGGTGGCCTGGTTTTCGTGAGACTGCTACGGATAGTGTTCCCAGATCTCAATAAGTTTCTAATGTTATACGTGGACCCAATACCACTTATCCTTTTCGACAATCCTCTGATGTAGGGAAATACAAGTACTGGCTGTGGCGGCTTCTCTTCTTTGTGGAGCTCTTGCTGTCTTCTTGTTGAAACCTGTTCCACCATCACTTCATATCATGTTAGACAAAGGAGGTCCGAACTAATGAAATGCACTTGATAATTTTCAATTATTGATTATCATAAATAGTGTGAAGCTTCTGTTTTTGTACACATCGCAATAGTTCAAACTATTTCTGGGATTTGAATATCATCACTGAAAACGGATGTTTAACATCTGAATTACCTTTCATTAAATTTTTCCTGTTTGATATCATTGGGATGAGTTATTTCAAAAAAGGTTTTCGTTGCGTGAGCAAAATCTTTAGAGTCATTCCACAAATTAATTTGTTTACCTATAAACAATTCGTTTTCGTCACTGTGAAAAATGTGATGCCTTCATATGCCTGAAACACCTGATAATATCTGGCGTCTCACTTCCCAGAGGTCACCTGTGAAACTGCAATCCAAATATCCAGAGAAATACACTTTATATAAATTAACAATTCATGAGAAACATCACGAAAAGGCGATGAATCCAACAATTGGCCAGAAGATGATCTCATACAACGTTTGTCATCATGGAGGAATTTCCACACGGCAACAATTTGACCTCTGATCCTAGCCTCCTTACCGAATGTGGAATCTCAAATGCTTCTACTAGCTTACATCTTAATATTCAATGTATATCGAACGAGACGGAGAACTGTTTCTTGAACAAAATCATTGCAGTGTTATTTGCTTTAGTGAACATTGGCTGAACGAATCAAACCTAAAAATGATACATCTCTCTCATTATTATATTGCAATCATTTTTCTGCAGAACCGGAACAATACAAGGTGGAATCTGTATATTCTCTGAAAATGAACCCAACTGTCAAGTCATAAACTTAAATACTTTTTGTGTGAGAATGCATGCTGAGTTTTGTGGCACTGGTGTTGTCGTAGTGTAGAAGTCTTGCAGCCACGGTAAGTTCGAATTCACTGACATGATAGACTTTGTGAATCTATTCACTCGGAAATTCGGAATGAAGTCATTAACTCTTTCGATCTCATAATCAATATTTTGGATGCACTAGAATATCTTCCAATTCGTCTTGTTGCGTGAACAATATCGTCATGGCTCCCACCTTTGACGTGACAGATGCCGGAGTGATAAACCTTTGCATCTCTGATCATTCAGGACAAAACAAAGATATTGCGTGTGAAAGAGATAATCAGGACTCCCTCAAGTTACTTGACTAGTAACTAAAAGTGGTATTCAAAAACTTCAAGGAAGTCTCATGAAAACTAATTTGGATTTTCCTCACATACAGTAGAAAACTCAGTAAAACTCCCTCGCAGATTATCTCACCATTACTTCATACACTTTGGTATGCAAACACTTTCCAGAAAAGAAACCAAAAATGGTGAATGAATCACTTGTACATTTTTCCAATGATCATTTGAGAGCTGAAGAGACAAGTCCAGACCATGAAAATTGTCTCAGATTACACAGGCACTGTGCAAGCTTGGTTGTAGGGAAATTTCAAATCACTATCTTTCAGAAATCACTGTGCTAATGGCACTTTTATTGCTAGCTCAACTAATAAGAGTGAAGACTGCTAGAAGGAAAGAAGCGAAATGAAAATCTGATGTTTTTTCAATGACGATACAATAACGGCCAATGAATTTAATGACTTCTTCTCTATGGTTGCACAAAACATAATCGAAAGTTTAACTCAAATTTATCATGAACCGACTGACTTTTCAGATCCCAACCTGAACCAGTCACAAGAAACGAAGTGTTGTCCGCAATCAAAAATCAGAAAAATTTCTGTAGCTTCAATGTATATTTTTCAAAAAGTGAAATATTGAAGAAGATAATGGAAGTGAAAATAAATACGCTGATGGATATGATTAACATATGTTTCACTGATGGTGCATTTCCCGATGCCTTGAAAATATCCAAAGTTGTTCCTATGTTTGAAAAAGATAAGAGATATCTTCCAGACAACTACAGACCCATCTCCATGATGTCAATACCAGAAAAAAATTGAGATCAATGTAA